CTGTACTATATCCTTATCGCAATCTTTCTTTTATATGTAACCACCATCGAAATTAACTACTTTTATGAATCCGGTGTCCATCTTGTTGTGTTAATGAGGTATGGTAACTTGGACCGATGCATATATGTGTCCGGTCCCAAGTTGAAGTTGACTGACTGTATTAAAGTCACTTCGCAGGAGTGAACCTCACTCCGTCACGAACCAAGGCTCAGATTTCATCACATAAGATTGATAACAATAAATTATTACCTGTTCGTATTGTTCACTTGCTGTTTATCACTAGTGCTTACAAAAGCGAGTCAATGCATATTTACGAATGTGAAGTCGAAAAAGTCATTATTGTATTAATAAAGCACCGACCATATTAGCTAATTATTTCCTGAAATTTAGTTTCGATATTTCCCTAGTGTTTTTTGACAATTTTCTCAATTCGGGCTTATTAAATTTTTAGACTCAGCGATCAATACTCAGTGTTTAGAAACAAACTAGATTCATGTCGATTCACACGCTTTACTGAGATAACTGCTTTACCGACTAGTACCAAGAACAATGAGCCCCATTGGCGCCCAGATCGCCCAGCATTGGTTGTCAGTAGTTGCAGCTGGACACCTGATGATGACTTCACGTTAGCAATTAAAGCACTGGGAATCTACGACAAGGCAGCTGAAAAACCAGATTCAGGTTTACCCAGTATTGTGTTTGCTGTAACAGGTATAGTTTTACGCTAAACTGTGTTCAGTCTTGTTTTCTTAGACATTTCCAACCTGTTCTGACTTATTGTTCTCGTAGTGTGGCTGGTTTTATCTATAAGATCCATATTTGTCAAATTAGTCATGGTATCATCATAGATCAATCGTTCACACATAAACTTTTCTTATTTTCTAATGGCTTCGCCCTTCCACTCTCGTCTTAGGTGCATTCTACTTAATGTTGTGTTATCTGCATCCCATCTTCATTACATGTATGTAGTTAATGACAAGAAGGCATATTCCTTATACTCCCCTAAACCTATCCAAATTTGCAACGAAAAACCAAGGCTTTAAGTATCGCATCAAACTTTGAAAATCTATCTAAATAATAGCAGTATTTTAGGTTTCCTTTCATCCCACTTATCAGGAAGGTGCTCCTAAATATTTATGTCCAAAGGATCTGTAATCTTACTTAGTCTGTACAACAGATTTCAAAACACTTCTTGATTACTTCGAGTGTTGTTTATGATCTCAGATAATTTCAAGTCACTTATAGGTATCGTTACCAAGGTTTGACTTGATAATTTCGAATAAATTTAGCATTGAGTACATTGTTACAAATAAATATATTTGTGTGCACATAATATTCTTGCGTTGTAACAATTACAATTTACGCCTGTTACTCCTCGTGGAGGAGCATAGGCCACTCGCCATCCAACCCTGTCCTCAGCAATCCTTTCCAGTTCTTTCTAGTTGCTATTCATCGCTCTCAAGTCTGCTGCCAATTCCCGACGTAGTGTGTTCTTCGGTCTTCCTCTTCTCCGTTTCCTTTCAGGATTCCATGTTAGTGCTTGCTTCGTGATGCATTTTGATTATTTCCGTAATGTATGTCCTATCCAATTCCAACATCTTTTCCTAACTTCCCCTTCAGCTGGTTTGTCCTCTTCCAGAGTACGCTGTTACTGATGGCATCCGACCAATGAATGTTGAGTATCCTGCGTAGACAGCTATTTATAAATACTTGCACCTTCTTGGTGATGGTTGTTGTAGTTCTCCAAGTTTCAGCTCCGCACAGTAGAACTGCCTTGATGTTCGTATTGAAGATTCTGACTTTGATATTAGTTGAAAGTTGTTTTGAGTTCCATATGTTCTTCAATTGTAAGGATGAGGCCCTTGCTTTGCCAATCCTCACCTTTACGTCTGCATCTGAACCTCCTTGTTCATCGATGATGCTTCCCAGGTATGTGAAGGATTCTACATCTTCCAGAGTTTCGCCGTCAAATGTGATTGGGTTGGTGTTCTCCGTGTTGTATTTGAGGACCTTGGTTTTCCCTTTGTGTATGTTGAGGCCTACTGATGCAGAGACTGCTGCTACACTGACTGTCTTTATCTGCATTTGTTCGTGTGCATGGGATAGAAGGGCTAGATCATCTGCGAAGTCCAAATCGTCTAATTGATTCTCCGCCTAGAGCTCTCCTATTTACTGCCGGTCCCAAGCCCGGGTAAAGGATGAGGGTTGGTCATGTGGTTGGCAACCCCATGCCGTAGGAAAAATTTTGGTAGCAAAAATGCCAACCAGATTAAACAAATTAAACCATTTAAACTCTGCTTTTGGAATTGAAGGGAGAATTATGACGCCTCAGGATGAAAGTTGAGATTCTTTGTAAGTCACGAGGCCGATGCCCCTTCTAACAACCAGAGCAACAATTTTTATAGGTACATGGAACGTTCAGACAATGTGGGAGACCGAGAGGAAATGCTGAGATACAGCTTGGAAGTACCCGGAATCAAAGAAACCTAATGGACCCAAGCTGGACAGCAATAGATCGATAAGGGAGAGATGCTTCTGTACTCCGGTCAAGAAGAGAAAAATGCTCCACACACACGGAGTTTCTCTAATACTATCCGAAGTAGCACGAAATGCACTTGTAGGATGAGAATCTCACGGATCCAGAATCACCAAAGCATCATTCGAAACAAAGAAAGAGGGGATCACAATGAATTTTATCCAACGTTATGCACCCACCAATGATAACAACGACGACAAAAAAGATCAGGTCTATTAGAGGCTACAATCAATCATAGCGAAGTGCCCAAGGAAGGACCTCACCATCCTAATGGGAGATCTAAACACCAAAGTGGGAATAGACAACACCGCATATGAATATATCATTGGACGACATGAACTGGGAGAGAGAAACGGAAATGGGAGAGGTTTGTGAACCTCTGTGCATTCAACAAATTGATTATAGGTGACACAAAATTTCCCCCTCTTGCGTTGTTCCTTTGTACTATTTAAACTTGGATTAATTTTGATTTGGTTATTTATCCTCTGAAAAAGTGGCTTACACTGAGTCGCGAAATGTCAGAATTTTTTTTCCTAATGATTGGGATATTACAAATACATTGCTTTATTCAAGTCACTCAGTCCAAAGTACCACAGGTGATTTAGAGTTCCTATCTGAATGTGACAACTGTTGTCATGTTATTTTACTTCCCTTGTTTTAGGTCGTGGTCCATTACAAAGCTACTACGCAAAGTTAATAAAAGAACAAAATTGGAAACATGTGGAAGTCATTATGTTGTGGCTTGAGTGGTCAGATTATCCAGCTTTTCTTGGATGTGCTGACTTAGGACTTAGCATACATCGAAGTTCCTCGGGACTGGATTTACCCATGAAAGTGAGTTTGAAGTATTTTCACATATTACAAAGAAGTAGTATGTGTAATCTTAAAATGTCACCTTACGTAATATATAACCACGAAGTGGGGTTATGCCAAAATAATTTTTAAACCGCGAAACATAAGTAAACCTATTTCTGTATTTACAAACGAAGCTCTTTATGGTTGCATTTCGGGACAATACCGTCATTTTGTTATTTTGAAGTTGAAAAGGCTCTTAGTTTCCTAAAGAACGCTTACCAGATAGCTATACCATAAACTAGCCCAATCGTGTGTTCACACAAGTTTTCACGTGAGTATAAAAAACAGAAGTACGCTCTAGAGGTATAGTCATCTTATTTTAATTCTAGTTCCAAAAACCTAGAATGACCAAATATAGAATCCAAAAGCATTATTATTAAGATTCAACTTTTCAATATATATACCCATGTAGATTTTCACTTATTACTAACCACCAATTATTTTAACCTAACATCCTTGAACACATTTCGTATGGGTATTTTTTATTGTATATGTTTAGGTAGTTGACTTACTTGGTGTGAACGTCCCTGTCCTGGCGCTAGGTTATACAACACTAAGTGAATTGATGGAGGATAATAAATATGGCTTATTTTTCGAAACTGGCGAACAATTAGCTGATCAAATGTGCGACTTGTTGAAACCACCCCGTAATTCTACAATCCAATATACTTATGAACCTAGCCGTTTTTTATCTGTCGGGTCAGAAAAATTAATTCATTTTCGCGAATGTTTAGCTGAAAGAAACAAAAACCTGATTAGAGGATTTACCTACTGGAAAAATACTGCATTACCAGTGTACGAAAAAGCAGTTCATACTAATCCCTATAAAAACAAAGATAATTAGATGGTAATACATAATACGAATCTTTTGTGTCACTTATTTACTTGATTTCGAAAATCCTAGTTACTACTTATTGTGATTAGCAATTACGTTAGATTTTCAAACATACAATCGATTGATCACTGAATAGTGGTCATCGTCACATGTGTTCAGTCCTACCGTGTTGATCGAATTCTACCGATCAAGTCGCAGTATGGCCACTAGTGTAAATGATTCGGTATCACGTGCGTTATGTTGATGTGTTAGGTATTTGGAAGCAGTTGACAGGAAATACTAGTGGACATACGTCTCCAGCTAGTTGTTAATACTCATTTAATTTTCTAATCAGTTTAGACCCTTAATATAATTGGAAAATCTGGATAATTTTCGATGACGCCCTCATATCTAATCAGATTTAATCACATGGAAGGATTTTATTTGCACTATGTTCTTTGGGATAAAAAGACAAATTTGAAAGTCAAGCCGAGTATATTTCACACTATCAGTAGAATATCATACATTCATTCGTTGTTAAAATGAGGTTTTAGGAAAAATTATACGATATAGAAAAAGTTTAGGTAGTCATTGTTATCAGTACTAATTGAAAGCACGAAAATTTGGTGACCCTATCTAAAATCTAGTCGAACTCTGCAGAACAATAATTATTACCGACATAAGTAAAATCAAAAATAAGAAAGTATAAAATAATTGTAACATTAAGCCTAAGAAATTATCTGTGAGCAAAATAGCATTAATTATATTGTTGAAAATAAGTGCTTACATGTCTCTCTAAACACGAGGCATAAAGTGCTTCCATATTTCATATGAAATATGTAGACGGTTTTCCGTTAAAGTGAGTAATAGCGTGGCTGTTGCTTCAGTCATTTCAGGGTGCAAACTAATTAATTCTCTCACATTTTTATCCACAGATCTTGTTTGGCATTTGATGAGATCACAATGTGACATACCGGAGGGGATCGTATTCTTGTTAGACAAATTGTCTGAAGAGCAGTCCGTGTGGTTCTTATCATTCGATAACGATTCACAAATGAGATCTGGGTTTGCACTTATGTTCTGTTGCGCAGATGGCTTGATATCATCTTGATGGTCTCGTATGTCGTCTTTTTCATCAAAGGCTAAACCAACCTCCAATTCATCATCAGAATCTGACTTGTTTAAATCTAACTGAGCGTAATTTAAATCCATTGTATGATCGAAACTCCCAGTATCTATCCGGGGCATAACTTGTGCTGGAAACAGAGAGTTGCTCCCTTGAGAGCATAAGCATCTATCTTCATTACGCTCACTAAGCGAGCGTAAGAGTGTATCATTTTTAACAGATGAGTCGGGATTTGTGAATCGGATGTTTTCATGAGAATCAGGACGTGTGGAAATCTCGAGTCCGCAGTTTGTCGAAGAAGTATGCCAACTAGCTTGAAGTCCGTTGTTGTAATTTACGGTATTATCTATGGTAGATGTCAGATAAAAGTTCCTTGGCGGTATAGGTGGTGGCCCCGCAGATAGAGGGTCTGGTGTGAGAATTTTTCTGTTACACAAGGCACTGACAGAACACGAAGCCAATCCTGAAGGCTTGTCAGCTATCTCATGAAGGGATGCTGTTTGATCATAAATTACGACAGGCTCACTTGGATGAAAACTTAGTTTACCAGAGTCGCTTGATGGTTTGTAAGGATCAACGATAATATCTTCAGTCCCTTTTATTACCAGGCGGCAAAACGGACATGTTAAGCCATTGCTTGTGGATTGACAATTAAGCAAGCAATTCTTGCAAATCAAATGACCACAGGGTTCGAGTCGCGTATCTTTATTATTTTCATCACAGATCTTACATAATTCGAAGGTTGAACCCATTTCACAGTAAAGCTGATACTGTTCCTTTGTTACTTGTAAGTGAACTTGGAGTAGATTATTTGTTAAATAGTACAACAATGTGGTAGGACTGGGTTTCCCGTTTGGATATAAATAGAATCCCTCTCTTTCTCCATCAACCAACGCTTGTGCCAGGGATTTATTTTGTATTATAGTTTGTACGATTTTTAGTTCTTGTGTAATATATCCGATAGCCCACTGACCCAGTTTAGTACATGATAATCGAAAAATATATGTTCCTGGACCAGGGTAAAAGCAGTAGCGTTTAAGAACACCTTTAACTTGATCATACGTCATGAACGCCATGTAACCGGATGGAGGATGGCTAATGCTTTCCAGGTTTCCAGTATATTGTTCCACGGTTGAAACAATCTAGTAAATACATCGAACTCAAAAATGGATACATAGTCATTACAAGTTATGTCTATAGTCGTTTGAAGAGCCAGTAGTTGAGTATCAGAGTCTATCCTGAATGTTTGAATTAACGAATCTTTGAATAATTGCCAAGAAACAACTACATTATCCCCAAAATTGCTCAACCACCATCGAGCCGCATCAGGTTTTGTTATACGGAAACCCTTAGAGTCGAAAGTATCATGTGGAAGAGGGCTTCTAAATCGTTTAGCAAATGTGAATATACTAGCGACAACTTAATCAGACGAAACCGTGCATCTGAGTTGATATCGAAAATTTTCTCTTTGGAATTTTTGAAAAGACTAATAGTTTGCTTGGATTTCTCAATCAAGGTCGAAATATATATTTGAAAGTATTCTATTTCAGAGAGTGCATCATAATTTTCTTCATAATTTGCAATTATTCTTTGTAACTTTTCATATATATCCGGAATGGTATCCAAAATATAAGGTGGACTGGCTTTCAAGCTCAACTTTGGTTGTTGGCAAAGACGCACAACTTTATCGAGATATTTATAGCAAAAGTTAACACATTTTCTGTCAATCATTACAAGTCTTCACAAGAAGTTTATATGCGATTGTGACTGACAGCATAAGTACCCTAAAAATATATTGTGAAAATCAGTGTGTAATTGATTTATAGAGTTCAAACATTAAAGTAAAATATGTAAGGATGCAGCATCTAGAATGACGAACGTAACGCACTGAACAGTATTACACCATGACAGATTTCTTAACCAACATTTGTAATTTTGGGATATAAAAGATTCAGTATTAGTGGAGGTATTATGAACTTGCCACACACCCCCGCCCGCAAATGCCCTGGTATGGCCGAGAGTGGGGTGAGTCCGCTCTCCCTCTCGAAATGCTCTCACATGGCCACGCGTATATAGCCTCTGTCAGGGAAGTCCTACTCACTGCCTTCTCGTGGCGGGGGTGTTGTTTACAAAAATGAGAGGACGAAAAGCGAATGTCCGGCGCTTTAACCGGATTCCAAACTGATGGTGCACATGGGCTCCAGTATCCTGAGGGAACAAATGGCGTATGAACCAATTGTTGGTCACCGGCTTCTATGGGATTGCATCTCCTTACGATGCTCCACTGCCTTGTGGGTCAGACCTTCAGGTCGAAGGCTCGGGGAGTGGCCCCTTAAGAAAACCACCTGCTTCGGTTTGGGCACCAGGGCAGTATCACAGCCCTCACATATCGAATGAGATTTGTGTGGCGCATATGTATTTGGTGCCTCCTCGTACCATTATCTATGTGTTAAAATAAATAAATACCCCCCCCCAGGTATTAGAGAGGATTGCAAGTTGAAAACCAGCGTCGTTTATCACTACTTATTAAACTTGGAGTTTTCGCCACGAAGTATACTGCGATTTTCTGTTTAGAGACAAAGAATCTCCACAAAAAACGGATAATTAAGATAATGCGAAATTCAAAGGGCTTGGCTATCGTATCAATATGAGGATTCACCAGTCTGTATACAAAGCAACCTGACAGTGATGGTCTATTTCATGGCAGTACTACTATCTCTTTCTATTCTCGAATTTATTATTTAGCCTACATGGACCGTCGAAAATATGCAACCAATTTGAGTCGTGTTTTACAACTAGAAAGCGCTTTGGGTAAATTTTGATTAAACAACAGATTTGTGTAAGAACTGTTGGTTTAGAACAATTACAAGAATCTTTCCCCAGCTAAACTTCGGCTGACCAGTTCCTGAACTATTCCCTCTAGGTTTAAAAATGGGTTCCTGTGGGACAAGATACATCGGTTGCAGCCAGTACTTCATTTATCTAAACACATTGGTACACGGAAGCACCAAACAGATATGCGCCACATAAATCATTCGACTTGTGTGAGGGCTGGGATACTGTCTGGGTGCCCAAGTCGGAGTAGGTGGTTTTTTGGGGGAGCCACACCCAGAGCCTTCGACCTAAAAGCCTGACCCGCAAGGTAATGGAGTGACGTCAGGAGATGCAGTCCCTCAGGATCCTGTAGCCAATGTGTTTTGGGATCAGGGTTTTACAACTCCCCTAGGTAGATTCTCCATATCCACCAACACGGTTAAAGCGCTGAACATTCGCTTTTTGTCCTCTTAATTTCATTAACACCCCCGCCGCGAGAAGGCAGTGAGTGGGGCTTCCCTGGCAGTGGTTGTATGCACGTGATCATGTGAGAGCATTTCAAAAGAGAAAGCCGACTCTCGGCCGCACCATGGCATTCGGAGGCAGCCAGTACTTAGTGTGAACGCATACACATTTTCATAAATTACTCCTTCAGATTTCATAGTTGTATACAATTAAAAATGCATCATATTTTGGCTGTTTTTCCTTTTTATTATTGGATTTCCCGGCGATAACTGAACTCCATGGTAATATATATCCAAAACTACTGTAACTTGCTCCAGAAAATCTTGTTCTTTTAATTGCGGTGTCCGGAATCGTTAACGTCTTGTGAAAATAGTGAACACATAAAGGACAGATCTTGAAGCCATGAAAAGTAGGCACATAAAACTACCGAGACCTAAAATCCTCAAGAAATTCCTAGTTTTTGCTTTACACTGACACTATCTGCATGTCACTTACGAATACAAGTGCTCTTTAACTACTGTCCACGAAAATAATTGATAGAATATGGTGTGATAGTGCAATGATGAAACTAAAGAAATAAAATCAAATAGTAACAATAAAACACAGTCCTTTAGTTTTACTATTCAACTGAATCCAAAGAGACAACTGGGAATGGATTCAGTTAACACTATATCATACAGTTACGTTTAGCATATTAGTATAGTAGTATAGTGCAAATAAACTAGTGCAATCGAACTATAAACTGGATTAAGGGAGTCGAGAAACAATTCTAAATTTAAAAATGACCCCTCTACTAATGTTCTTTGGTACAATACTTGATCTAGCATTCCCGAAATACTAAAAACACTGAACGTTCCAACTCAATGTTCACAGAATGATTTTGACGATCCTACATTAATGTTCAGTTAGGAAGCTACGAATCGCTAACTTGTGTATTACCCCTTAGATTTAGTTCATTAAGTTTCATAGAACTATTGTTAATATGGAGAAAACAAGTGTATTATGTACTGGTTTCCAGGAGTATGGGACTCACGACCTGACCACGAGAACTATATGCTTCATCTCTGACTAAGATTTGTTAAGTCTAGCAGGCGAATTGACAGACTAAAACATGTATTTCGAATGATCATTTTGATTTCAAGCTCTAATCCTAACTTAGTGACCAAGGATAAGTTCGGGGGCAGTCCAATTGAGAATTTTTTGTAAAAATGTAACCTTAGATTTACTCAGGTGTCGGATTCTTCTCAGAATTCACCCGAAATTTCCCAAAGGAATTGTTGATATTGGTAGCCCGAAGCTTAAAATTCGCGGTCAAGGAGACTCCGGATCACTCCGTTTCTCTCACTGTGTGAAAACTTTCTACAATTACGCGCTTCGGTACAATCTTCGTCGTGGGTGGTAATTATTTGCAGTGTTTTTACTTCCACAATCGTTTTCATTTTATGACAGCAAAAAGAACATTTAATTACAGATTTTATCAGTTAAAGGTGTACATAATTAATAGTATTGTAATTTTACCCTGTTGATGGAAATAAAGAACGCAAAATGCCACAGAAACAGGAATACAGGCTTTCGAAATGTGACTAGCATCCAAGTAGCGCAACTCTTAAAAAACGCTCTCTGACTTTCAAATGGTTCTGAGCAGACTAGGAGAAGCCTTGAATTGACGGGCTTCGATATCTAGTAGCAGTAGATCACCGATGTCTCCAGGTAGAACTTACGCACATATATAACGATAAAGAGAGCAATATTTGTAAATTATGTTGAAATCTAATTTAGTCTTGAGTTCTCAAAAATATGTGAAATTTCCACCTAAAGACACCTGAGAAGTCGCTTGGACCACCTTAGCCGGCAGCGAATTTCAGAATTCGACTACTCGTAAGGAACAAAAGGTGTGCCTACAATCCATTCTGCTATTATGTGATTCGAATTTCTAGGTGTTGCCTCTTAGTTTTGTGTTAGGACTGTGCTTAAGTATGCATTTAATAGTGCTCAGGAGTCCTAAGTGGCTGCAACGTACTTAAAGGTCACTCTTGAGGTGTCTACATTCTAATGTGGAAACAATTAATAATTTGAGCTCTCAAACTGATTACGCTATTCATCATCGGATACAAACCAGCGAATTCCTGTTGTAGAACTCCTCCTGGAGTCCCTCCGGGGGCTACTGCTGGTCCCAAGCCCGGATAAAGGAGGAGGGTTGGGCATGGGGTTAGCGACCCCATCCCGTAGAAAACTAACTCGCCAAAAAAACGCCAACCAGAAAAAATTATTCAAACCTTCTAAACTCTGCCTTGGGAGTCAGAAGATCTTCTTTTAGAAGAACTATGATGCCTCATGATGAAAGCCGAATTCCTTCGGAAGTTACGAGGCCGATGCCCCTTCTGACGACCAGAGCGACCAGTTATTTAGGTACATGGAATGTTCGTACAATGTGGGACACCGGAAGAGCCTTCCAAATTGCTGCAGAAATGAGGAGATACAACCTGGAGGTACTTGGGATCAGTGAAACACATTGAACACAAGTTGTCCAACAACGACTAACTTCAGGAGAACTTCTGTTATACTCCGGCCATTAAGAGGAAAATGCCCTACATACACAAGGAGTTGCATTAATGCTGTTCAAACGAGCACAAAATGCACTTATAGGATGGGAATCTCATCGGCCAAGGATCATCAAAGCCTTCTTCAAAACAAAGAAAGAGGGGATTTCAATAAACATCATCCAATGTTATGCGCCTACCAACGACTACAATAAAGGCGCTAAAGATTAATTCTACGATAGAATGCAGTCAACCATCGAGAGTTGCCCAATAAAGGACCTGACCATTCTGATGGGAGACTTCAATGCCAAGGTTGGAACGGACAACACTGGATATGAAGACATTGTAGGGTAAATAAATCCCCAGAATAAATAACTCTGTAGGTTTTCGACATTCGATGCTGACCAGATTAGTTTTAGTGGACTCACATAGCTGAAGGCGCTCGGTCATGCATCCGCACCAGATCACGTGTGGTAACGCTGTGCTCAACATCTACCGCAATCGCTAGCCAGATTAGATCAGAGAATTCCGATATTTTGGTAATCGCCAAATACAACTTCTGATCTCCTCGACTCTGTCTTTTGATTTATCTTGGTGGGTATGAATTATATTGGGAGTTGCTGGTAAAAGCGTTGTCAAACACTGAATACCTGTACCATCTTCATTGGTGAGACCGACGTGATCTGGTACACCAAATCGTAAACTGTGAGTCTGTTCCATTTTGGGATTCTAAATATCACTCCTTTATTTTAATTTTTTATATATTGTGATATTTTTTCCCCGTGTCTCAGGATATCAATATATTTTTCCTTTGTATTCTCTTACTTAATTTTCCCATATGACCGAACAGACTCCTAAGGTATTGAAGATTAAGACCATGTCCCCACCCTCGTTCCAACTCATGCCCTTCTGGCCCGACAGTATCGAAGCCTGGCCTCGCTACGCAGAAGCCAACTTCCACTAGCACGGCGTGAACGACACACGTGCACAATTCCTCGCAGTAGTCAAGGCACTACCGCGGGAATTCAACAGGTACGTAACATCTAGTATGTTTACTAGTGATGTTTCTGAACCTTACGAAACCTTAAAACGTTCGATTCTTAAACAAGGAGACCTAACCGATCGACAAAGGTTAGATCAACTCTTTAATAACATAGACCTGCAGCATGGTTCTGCGATGGACATGTTGCAACAGGTGCAAGCGGTTCTGGTCTCGTTTCAGAAAAACGCCTTAGATGAGCTGGCTGCATCTGCCGACCGCATTTTATAAATTACGAAATCTACTACCGAGGTTTTTTCAGTCAAACAAAGGCCTCAAATGACTCAGAATGACATAACCGAGTTGTGTCATACACTCACGCGTTATCTTAATCTTCGTACCGACCGTAAGAGATCGCGCACTCCACGTAGAAGCATTTCACGTAAGCGATCTGTCTCTAGACCACCTCGAATGGTGCTGGTATCATAACCAGTATGTAAAGTTTTCCAGAAATTGCAGAAAACCCTGCAATTTTCCCAACACGAAACCGACTGACTCGATAAACAACTCGGGAAACTTCCAAGCCGGCACGCGTTAACGGCAACCGTAGCCGGCAAACACAGCCGTCTGTTACACGTCACAGATGTGACAACGAGAGTTCGCTACCTCGTCGACACTGGCGCAGAAGTTAGCGTTCTCCCAGCGAATCCCAGCGATCGGCCTAACGAATCGGCTCTAAACTTACAGGCGGCAAACGGAAAACCTATCGCTACGTATGGCGAAAGGTACGTTTACCTTAACGTGGGTTTACGCAAACCCATTCACTGGATCTTCGTTGTTGTAGATGTTTCTATGTCAATCATTGGTATGGACCTTCTACAACACCATAATCTGATCATCAATACGCGCAAACGAAGGCTGGCAGACAGAAACAGTAATTTGTCTGTTAGCGTAACTTCTTTTTCTGGTTGCAGATTGTCTCCAGTCACAATTAAGCATACGATAGACTCATTTTGTCAACAACTACTCAATAAGTATTCTGCGATTCATCAAACGCAACCGTAAATACCGTGTGTAACCAGCAACGTTACACATCACATCACGACTACAGGACCACATGTATTCTCTAAAGCACGACGACCAGCTCCTGAAAAGCTGAGGTTAGCGAAAAACGAGTTCGACCATATGATAGACTTAGGAATCATACGACCGTCAAGTAGCCCATATGCATCTCCGTTGCACATGGTCCCTAAAAATGATAGCAACGATTGGCGTCCAACTGGTGACTATCGGCGATTGAACGCGAAAACCATTCCCGATCGTTACCCGTTGCCTCACATTCACGATTTGACAGCTACCTTGAAAGGTACAACTGTCTTTTCGAAAATCGACTTGGTTAAAGCGTATAAACAAATCCCCATGGCCACAGATGACATACCGAAAACCGCCATCATTACTCCCTTCGGACTGTATGAATTTTCGCGAATGCCTTTCGGTCTAAGAAACGCTGCTCAAACATTCCAAAAAAAAACTTCGGCGCGCTTTTGAAGGTTGTAACTTTTTTTCACGTGGTATTATTTTATTTTCCTATTAGTTTTTCTCTTTAATTTAACACTTAATAGCGATAAATAATTCGTCACTGATAGGGTTCTATCAATTTGACACCTTATTTAGGAACTCAACGTCATAAATTAATCTTGCTAATTCTCACGCTATCTCTATCACCAATTAACGTTAATATATTTACTCTTAACTAATACTGGGTCTGATCCTACCATAAAACTTCACACGTTCACTAAGTTAAATTACAACTATCGCTGTCCACCTAATTAAACTTTGTATTTACATTACTTCCGATAATGACCAGGCCATCTAAAAAACATATAATCTCTCCTGATGCCTATAGCACCTGCAAAAGATCTAAATCAGTCACTAAAGCGAATAATGTGAAACCTTATAAACACACTGATCAGTCTGCATCCTACTCTGATCTTCCCTCAGCCACACTAAACGTGCACCGTTTACTTGGACAAGACATATCACTACCTTGCATCTCGCTTGTCGATATAAATAAGAGCAGTCACATACCGTTAGAGTCGACATCATTTGTCAGTCCAAACAAAAACACCACATGTTGTGAGCAGTATTTAGACAGTGCTGTTGATCCCAAACACCCAGCAATCTCACAATCGGCCATCCTGAGTAGCGGCCCACGGAGTACATGTAAGCCTGCCTACAATAGCCAGCCCGGTGATGTAGATCTTGACTACTCACCCAGACATATACCCCATCCCCCAACTAAGTGTGCACAAAGTGAACATCCGCTAGACACCTGCAACAGGCCTGTATGTAACCATATCGACCTTAGAAACTTTGATATAAACTCCGATAATCTCACCACTGGTAGACCTAAAAGCAGCCAAACAGAACTTAGCCTCACCCAAACTATTCAAGACCTATTACCTTACAAATATTTAATCAGTGTTCCAGAAAATCCCGATCTGGAAATTATAAAAAACACTGAAAAAGTAATTGACCATATATCATCTGAAGTGTTGAAAAGACTTCAGTGTATGCAGAATGTTATTGTGTATAATATACCTGATAGTACGAACATAAAGATTGCTAAAAATACTCTGCTACAAGAATGTGGATTGTCGCAATCTTGGTGTGTAACAAGAAGATTACGTAAGGCACACACTAAAGCCTCCTGTCCCATTCTATTTCAGTTTGGTAGCACCACTGAAGCTAATCACCTCCTCAATAGTCAGTCATTACTGAGGCGTATTCCAACATTTAAAAAGATTAGGATCATTCATGACAGGACCGCTATCCAGCGTCGAATCTGCAATGGAACACAAACTGATCAACCCAGCTTACGTAGCCGTGGCAGCTACAGCTCTTGTCACTGCACAAACCCTAAAATATCATACACTGCCCCCCCAAAAAAACGGAGGCACGTCGGACACTGCTATTAGTCCTAAGGACAAGACCGCACATAAAGCAGCTACAACCACTCACCCTCAGCCCAGACACTCAGCTACCCCAAAATGCCAAACCACTTATGCCTCAATAGCGTCCAAGTATTACCCTAGCGGCCCTTATAAAATGCCTAAAAATGATCCTCCCAGGGATCGCGCTAACAGCTACAGACCCGCAGACACCGCTGTGCGAAAAAATACCAAACTCTCCGTAAAAACCCACCAATACTCCAGCACCCCTAACCCAAAACATGCACCTTCTCATAGTAATAGAATGCCCTACAACAAACATAGAGAACTGGCAACACCCACTCATCCTAATGTGAAACGACACTCGACAAGAACCACACCCACACGTGATACCCATAAGTCATATGGTGTCAACCTTGTAAGCCCCATGAACCAACACAAAACTATACACAACAGAAACACCTCTCCTGGCAACAATAACAGGCATTCCTTCATCCCTTACCAGAAACATACAACCTCCCCAACTAACCACAATAGGACTAAAATTGCCCACCGCACACGAGGAAGCCATAACGCTGGCCTACTTGGGAACCCACCTACAGATTCTAGGTACTATCCAAGTCAAGCCACCCAATACAACGGTTTAGTCCCCCCTAATTCGACATGCACACTATCTCATCCTTTTTTATCTCTCTCCCCCTCAACATTACTGCTATGGGGTCTCCAAATGTTGAGGGCGACAATCCCACTATTCTGAAACCATCTATATACTCCGATTTAATGGGGAGTAGCACATCCTACTCAACTTCGATAACTGTCTCTAGTCTTGAAAACTCCTTGACTGAACCCCCTGATCATTCCCCGGACACATTACCTAATCATTCGACTCTACCTTCCACTCTTAGACATACTTCTTTCACCAAAACCACACCCGACTACCCTTCTTGCATTAACCCTAATGGTAATAAACTAAACACTCATCAATATGGAGTCAACGCTCCCAATTCTTCCTTTTCTCATGGCAAAACAGACAAACCACTCGGTTTACATCATACCCTTCTACTAGACAAACAGTCACCGTACCTGACACTTATGTTAATCAACGCTCGATCTGTACAAAGTAAGATGACTTACCTACGCACCCTATTGCTTTTAAACAACCCCTCACTTGTTTTGATAACGGAAAGTTGGCTGTCCTCCGATACCACAGACACATTTCTACAAATAGACACCTATGAGCTCTTCCGCTGTGATCGAGTCACCAAGAAGGGTGGTGGTTGTCTCGTTTATGTATCAAAAAATTTGAGAGCGGAAACCTATAGCGACCACGTCCTCAGCAAACTTCCTGAATCGATATGGCTTACTGTGCACACTCATGAATGTAAAATACTAATCGGATGCATATATCGAGCTCCTAACACTCCTAGTTCAACTGACACTATTATAAGTGAGTCATTTGCTCAGGCTGCCTCGCTTGACTTCACATACAAAATTGTATGTGGTGATTTCAACCTTCCCACCATCAACTGGAAGACACATTCTGGCCCATTGTGCTTTGAAAGCATACTTAGGTCCTTAGACATACACGGCTGGCAACAACATGTACACCTGCCTACACGAAATCACAACATTCTTGACTTGATATTCTGTCATAGTGTCACACCAACATCAATGGTGGTTAGCGAAAAGTTTCACAACAGCGATCATAAAATAGTCCTCTGCACCCTTCCGATTCTTGCCATATGCAACAAATTAAAGACATTAAAAACGCGATTCCAATATAGAGACTATGCAAACGCTGACTGGGAAAACTTTCGATTTCTAATAAAGCACTCTGACTGGGGCAGTTTCTTTACCAGTAATAACCTCTTAGAAACATTAGAAATATTCAATATCACCACCAAATCTGCACTAGACACCACTATACCCTCTAAAATTGGTTTTAAAACAGTTACTCCCTATATAAACCAAAAGACTAGGTCTAAACTGAGAAAACTGAAAAGGATGTACTATATATCAAAAGACTTCAGTGCCCTGCACCAGATATACTCTGTACTTGACGGAGTACAAAGTCAACACAACAAGCATAAACAGGTAGAGGAACGTACTGCGCTCGCTGCTGCATCTAAAGCCCAAGCCCTATGTCGTCTCCTCACGAAACGCATAAGAAAGAACACAGACAACAACATTCACTCCTTACTGCACGATGGAGTAACGTATAATGACCAAACCGTCATATGTGAACTATTAAGTGAATGGTTTTCTCACAATGGGAATACATCTGATGCCCCAGATATCGACATAAAGTGCACCGGCAAAAACTATCTTAGTACCATAAACTTCGACATTAGGAGTATACATACCGCCATTAAAACCCTTAAGCCAAATGCGAGTTCTGGTGCCGATGACATCCCTTCAATCGTTTATAAAATGTCAGGGCCGGACATACAGACGCTACTACTCAAAATATACACATTATCTTTAGAGACAGGTACATATCCGGAAACCTGGAAGGTAACGTATGTTCTTCCCAAACACAAATCCGGACCGAGAAACCTGGTAGAAAACTACAGACCTATAAATATCACTCCAGTCATATCACGCATAATGGAAAAAGTGATACAAAATCAACTATCTGATCACCTACTCAAGGAAGATCTAATAGACCCGTCACAACACGGCTTCATTAGAACAAGGTCGTGCAGTACATGCCTGATAGACTTCTTTAACGAGGTTACTCGTATGCGTGACCAGAAGAAACTAGTTATTATACTATACTTCGATATTAAGAAAGCCTTTGATAAAGTACCTCATAATCTTCTAATCAACAGACTGAAGTCAGTTGGAATTATAAATCCCCTTTTGCAATGGATCAAGTCTTTTCTTACGAACAGATATCAAATAACCAAGATTAACTCTAATACATCTACACCTCGACCGATAACCAGTGGTGTTGTGCAGGGTAGTGTCTTGGGTCCATTGCTCTTTATAATCTACATCAACAATATATGCAGGTGTTTCAGCACAGGTAAGACCTACCTCTATGCCGATGACTTAAAAGTCATCTATAAAACTGACATTTGCGATTTACGCAGTACTATGCAAACAATCCAACATGAACTCAACATGGTAGATGACTGGTGCAAACGCTGGAGGTTAGAGCTCAACATAGAGAAATGCGGCTGGTTATGTATAGGAGACACGTCTCTTAAAATGAAACTAACAATTAGCGATCACACACTCCCCAGACTGGCATCAGTAACTGACCTAGGGGTACATTACTCACACAGTCTTAATTTCTCTGAACACATCTCAGCCAAAGCATCCAAAATGCGGAAATTGCTTGGCTTCATTCTCCGTAATTTCTATCAAAATGAATCTAAAATCCTTCTTTACAAAGTTTGTGTAAGACCTATCGTTGAATACTGCTCGTTTTTATTTTCCAACCTACGTCTATCTGATATACTAAAGGTGGAAGGAATACAACGAGACTTCACCCGCAAAGTACTTAAGACTGACTCGGTCATTGACTACAGTTCTCGATGCCAAATCTTAGGAATAGCACCCCTTTGGGAGAGAAGGCTTAGGTCTAATTTGATTCTCTACTTCAAACTACTCAAAAACCTTACTTACTCAACATGTCAGATAATTCTTGCCCGAGATTCACATGAATACGAACTTCGAAACAAAGTATCTACGGTCAAAGTTGAGAAATACAGATCAAAAACTCGGGAAAACTTCTTCCTCACCAAGTATGCAATAATATGGAACAGTCTTCCTTCCGAGACTCGCATGGCAGATGAACTACATACGTTTGTGAAACTGCTTGATCAAGCCCTCACTCGCACTGATCTTGCACGTACGAACACATCTGCACCCCACTCAGACATCATAGGCTCTCTCCATGTCTAGACCAAAATGGACTTCAAGTTCAGTTTGCCTTATTTTTCCTACTTTGCAGTTGTATTAATTACTTTTTCCACCCCATTTCTTCACTTGAAGTAGACAGGTAACTCACTGGACCTATCATTACTGTTAAACTAAACTCGGTCGATAAGGGACCATCACTACCACCCTAAAAAGTCAAGAGGACCCGACAATCGGCTGCCTACTACCAGTGGTCTTGCATCTATGGAACCTGTTACCAATCAACTGGTTAAGACAACAGAAAATAACATCAGCACCAAGTTACTGTGAGTTCCTTCCTGTTTATCCTATATTAACTTTTTACTCTTCTGTACACTATGTTGACTAGCAATTAATATTATTTCTCCACTCGTTCCCTTATCCACAACTCATACTTCTATACTTTTTCCGCCTGCTTAAATAAACAACTATCCTACAATATACCCTTCTTAACGCTTATACTCTGTTTGGCAAACTATACTTTATACTATAGTCAACAGAGGCACTGCATCGATGCTTTACCCACAGTCCACAGCTTGTAACTGCCTGATAAGCTTGTAAAATGGTACTTATAGAAATAGTGCTTTCCAACAAGTTGTGAAACAGAGGATTGTGTGAGGTATGACGTATATACAAAAATAAGCTTAAATGAGCCTAACATCACAAAAGGAGGGAGGGTGGAGTTACTGACCAGCAAGCATTGATGGTGAGGGCGATAACTTCAATCCACCCGTGTTTGTGGGGACAGAACATTTTGTATGTATCAGGCTCTTTATAATTGAGAATAAGACAGTCAATCTAAGATATAGATTGTCTTCCTACGCTCACCACTCAGACTCATGTTTCCAATAATATGCTGGATTAGCTATTCTACTAAGACAACCTATAACATGCTAACTCGGACTTTTACACTAGGATTGCGTGGCTGACATCGGATGGACAAAAAAAGAAAAGAAAAAAGACAATAAAAGATATAGTCACTAGTATTCTTAACACTTCACCCTCTATATATACACCCTTCTAATAAACCGCTTCCCTTGTACCAACCTTGACTTCCCTTCCTTCATGTGAGCTTACTCCAACTTGTTAAACATCACTACTCGTTGTTCTTTATTAGTACA